AGAGAGAGAGAGAGAAATAGAAATAATAAAAACCACGCGAAATTAGTACAATTAGTACGAATTTTTTACTCGCTCAATTTTTTAATCCTCGTCTTTTAATTGAAACGCCAACGGATTTCCCTTCTTCTCGAATTACGTTCGCTTAATTACCTTACGAAACAGTGGCGATTCCGATTAGATCGAGACCCAGTAAACTTTGCCCCGATAGAGGAAGAGAGTGGCAGGATGCAATTAATTCCACCAAGTTTTATGACGGAGTTTCCAAGTTGGTGGAAAACGATACCCGGGATATTCGTTTCGCGCTGACAATGCAACGGTCTTGAATTCACGCGCGTGAACCACGGAATCGGGGTAGAGTGCGCATAGACACGTAACTGACCCAGTTCGCCACGTCTCCGCGAGTACGAAGGCCGAGGTGAGGATTCTTTGTCACCTAGGACACGGTAATAATTCCGTACCGTCTTCACCCGGCGCACCTATTATACACACGCTTTTCTCCTCTTACACTCGTCTCAAGAATATTCCTCGTTGGCGCGTGTGCGACAACAATGTCAAGCCTCGAGACGTTTGCGCAACTTTTTTTAAAATTACTCCGCCTCGTATTTTTGTCCCCTTTTGGGCGCTGCATACACGAGTGCACGCTGCTCCACGATTCTCCTACGTATCTCTTTGTCCGCGATTCCTTTGATTTCTTTCTTTTTTTTCTTCTTTTTTTCGAATCCAGCAATTTTTGCCATTAAATGTTATTGACTTTTGCGCCTCGAGGCGTGGTTTTTTTCTTCCTTTAATTTTATTTCGAAATGTTCCGTTTCCATTACCGTATCGTCCACGTGACAAAATCATTATTTGATCATTCCAATTGTTGGAATGAAACTTTTCCAATTGCGTACGACTTCGTATTTGCATCTTAATAGATGGTAAAACGATTGATTAATTGCCATAGCAATTATGCAATTTTACGGTTTAGACTAGAAAGATGGTTTAACGATTAAACGCAATCGCAAAGTAACCTTGACGCGCGATCAAGCGGAACGAAGTGACTTAAGTACTTATATAGGGTGTTAATTATTCTTGGACCATCTCTGCAGAATCGATTTTCGCAAGGTAGAGCGAAACAGTTTTACCTCCATCTATATGCAAATCGAATTTTAATTAAATTTTTGCGTACCAACCCCTCTTCTCTTCCCTCTCCTCCCTTCTTATATCAAAAACAATCGATTTTTCTCAAAAATGGTGCACATGGATGTATTAACCATTCTGTGTATAAGTGTCGCGTGACGAGGAGAAAAAGATTCCACGTTTAATCCGACGATCGATCCCCGTGGGATGTTTCTCCTCGAGGAGCGGAACGATTAAGTTGCCAAAGATTTCCGGTTCAAGAAGTCGAAGTGACACCGGCGGGAATGACGTAATGAAGTATCTGTAAAGAGACGAGGATGTTCGTGAAGATTTCTCGAGGGCTCTCGAGAACGCGGGTGGTCTCTCGCCGAGTTTCACGGATCGATATGTCGTCGAGGAACTTATTCACGCTTCCTGTACACGGGAAACTTTGTACCTGCCTCGAGAGTTTCGTTTCGCGCCGCGAAAAAAGCTTGATTCCTCTAACGGGACACGGAGGAACGGCATACGGAACAAGCCGATGGAAGCTTTCGTTTTACTCGGAAAGATGTTTCGCTGGCAAAGCGATTCTGGAAAAGATAGGATATCATCGGAGGAACGAAGGTTGCAACAGGAGCGCGATAGATAAGAAAAAAATAAAATCAGAGGAAGATTCTTTTTTATTTATTTACGCTTTTGCGAAGAAAAAGATAAAAGGAAATTTGTTTCGCGTGTGCATCGATCGAATACTTCGTTAACAGGTTCGTTAAACAAAACAGAAACGAAACCTGATTTATTTATACGATAATGCCGAACTATAAACGTTACACGTTTGATGTGGAAATATACATTCCTTGAAATGAAATATCTCTTTATAATTGTTGCAACACGGTATAATTGGCTGGTCGAGAGCCAAAAGTCTTCGTTCCATCCTTTCTTTTTCTCTTTCCCGTCTCTGAGAATAATCTGGCGTTTAGCCAATTTATCCGGTTAAAATTTGTTCAACCTAATGGTCGCCTCTCGCTATACGCGTACACGTCGAATCGTGAAATAACGGGGTATAATGAATGAATTCAATCAATCCGGCCGCGTTATAGCGCGACTTCGTTCATACGCTTGCGTGGTAATGGTAGATTTATGATGGTAGCGGTTTTATTTCGCGATTCGCGTACCGTTTCGAAACAGTTTGTGAAGTGGAATTGCGGCCAGAATGATTTTACACACTTTTGATGATGTTGGTTTATTTCGTTCGAATACCGCGCGATTTCTTATCGTCGCGTTGCCTCGTAGCGGTAAAAATCTCGAGATAGGGACTCGGTTAAATCGGGCTCGTTCGACTCGAAGAATCATCCCCGCTTTTTCTTGAACAGAGAGAACAAAATCCTTTGGATAAGATTCCGGCAGAGAGCCGCGGAGTAATTGCGGAAAGGAAGAGAAGAATTCTTTCTCTCGTACTTTGACGCGATTATCTCTCGGCTACACTTTTCTTTTTTTTTTTTTTCCTTCATCGTCTACATCTTTCTATCCTTTAGGATTGGTGAAAAAGGGAAAAAAGTACGAGGCTTTTGATCTTTCTTTCAGAATGATTAGGAGACTCTTGTAATAAAAATTAAGATGATGATATTTTATCAACGTGGAGCTAATGCAGCGATGCATTAGGATAAACGTATAAAGAAATGCGTTAGAGCGCGAACAAATTAAAAATCGATTACACTTCTATTCTTCTTCTCTTCGATAGTCATCGTGCATTATTGCACGAAGAGGAATCATCATATGATAGATTTTTCATGGAAAAGAAAGATTTGCCAAACGATATCGAATGTTATAACGCTAAATTTTTATTTCATTTTTATTCTAAAGAAGAATGGAATACAAATAAAATCGAAATGTTGCTTCGAATCAAGATTGAATCCTGCGAAATGTTCACCCATGTGAAGTACTTTACAGAGCTAGATTACAAACTATTGTGCCATTGTTGTACGTGGTTTGATGCAACGGGTAATGGGAATGGAGAGTAAGAACGGATTGGATAACCGAGAAAGCATAAAGTATGTGGTACGATTCTTGATTGATTCAGGTGTCGTTGCATGAAGAAGTGGCAGTTCAAACTTTACGATAATTGAAAATCCTCTTTCTTCAGCCTGCTGTATAAAATCACGATTCAAGTTCGCCTCCCGGAGTATGGTCGCTATACGGTGACCTGTAAAAACAGTTAACGACAATGGGACACACCGGTGGATTATAATTTACGAACTATAATACAAAGAGATATTAAACTATCGTGGAGCTTAACGAAACTACGAAAGCAATTATTAATTGTATAGAAAATTTTATAGCAAAATTGAGAGGGATTATATTCTCGTGGAATTTCAATATATAATAATTTCTCTCGTTACTTTTTGCTATTTATTCAATAAATTTACGATCGGTTTTCAATATACTTGTCATTTGAAACCGAAGAGTGGTTTGAATTTTTCTGAATTCCTGCAATATCGATTTCCTTATTAGATATAGGAAAAACGTTTTATTGTACGGCATAAACGATGGTCGACTATATAAATTTTTTAATAAACGGTACAGATGGAATTTATTTACCTTTGAACATATTTTCATAATTAACGGAATCTAATATTCGAGGCGCGGATTTAAACAATTCTAAATTAAATTCGTTTTTACCCAACGAATTTCACACTTGATAAAATCTAATAATATTCCATCCAATTCGCACATCAATCGTCACCACGATCCAAAGCCGATCGTAACCAATCGCATCGTATCGATGTTAAACGAGTACGTGTCCAACGAGAGCAAGATTTTAAAGCCAATTTTAATCTAATTTATCCCGGAATACGCAACGAGGCAAGTAGCTTTCGCAACCGGAGAGGAAATCTCATTGTCTCCCACTGCAGAAGCGTATCCTGTTTTCTGACGAGGGTTACCCACGCGTTCATTGTACAATCATTGCGTTATGCGAATACACGATAATATCATTTCCGGAAGCCCGGAGGAATCAGACCCTCTTCTCCATACCAAGGATCCACACGTGCATCACGTGCCTCGTTCTTTTTTTTTTTTTTTCTTCCTCCCTTCCGGCACTCGAGTACCTACGCTGAAAGGGATGACGCGAAAGATCCAATTTCCAGAGCAAAACGAAAAGATCCCTTTCAGACTGGATTTTAATTTTCCGCTCTCTCTCCCTCTCTCTTCGAGGCAACTCAGAGAGTTTCGATTTTACTTCGAGATTCGCATAATAATCATTTCCCGATGTTTATTGTCGCGCCACGTTTCTGGAGAACTTTAGACGGAGAATTTTATTTTGACTAAATAAAACGTTCCGATCGGCGAATTCGATGAATTGTTTTTTTCTTCCCGGTAATTAGAGATCTCGTGGTAGATCCAATGCCTGCAGTCAATCAGGTGAAAAGATTTCGTTCGTGTAAAAGTATATACATCTATGAAAAATGGAAGATATATCGGCAAAGGAAGAGGAAGGAGAATATTTCCTTGGAAACTTTCTCTCCTCGATATCGAAAGAATAAATTCAAACCGACTTTATTATATTATATAAATTTCACCGAGTAATTTCGGATAACGTGTATGACCATTTATTTGTCAAGATTCGAAAATTCATGGAAATGGAATAGGAGGACGAATGCGAAGAAAAAGAGATGGAACAAAAGGTTACAACAGGTTTTTCGGGATCCCCGAAAATTGCAATTTCTCTTCTCGCAATTAGTCTTCTCGCGGCGGAACTCGATTTTCGGCCGTGAACCTCGTTAGAGTCCGTTCGAAATTTCTGCGCGAAGGCGTCCAATAAGTCGTTGAAACGTAATCGAATGTTGTTCGCTTGGAAAAAGTTTGAGTCGATTCGCAATCAGGAGGAAAAAGAAATTAACGCTTGATTACTGGAGGGGTCTGTATACTGTAGGATAAACGGTAACGAAGAGGGAATTCGAATTCGGGATAAAACGATCATTTTTCATCGAAAATGTTGGGGATGGACATGTTTTCCCTTCTTCGTTTGTTACAAAGCGATCGTTGAACCATAAAACATTCTCGAACAGTTGACGATGGCCGAAACGAGAACGAGCGAAAGGTCGAGGAACACGTGTTAGAATTTGAAATCCAATTGGCTATAGTTGAGGAAATATTAGTTTTTGCGATTCGTGTTTTATTCGAATCGAAGCCGGAACGCTGCCAACCACCTGCTACCGCTTTGATTAAACGGGCCACAACAGATCGATCGGTTTGCCTCGTCCAGAACAAACTGTTCGTTCCCAAAAATTTCTCGTTGTTCATGATGATGAAGATGAACGCCACGTTCCAAATATACTCGATCGTGAAATTTGCCGTGTTTACATTCCAAAAAATCGTGACGAAATCAGAAACATTAACGAATCCACGAATTTAAAAGATATACGTTTATTACGAATTTTATATCTTAAAGTTTTCAAACGATGGAGATTGAATATCCTCGACAAACACCGTTTCTATCCATTTAGAAGAACGATTCTCAACTTTTCAAAACTGTTCGAACATTTCTCTTTCGCGAGCAACCCATTGAATTACGACGGCGTCGACACGGTACACCGCCGCTTAATAATAAACGCGTCCGCTGGAACCAGCCGCAGAAACGATTTTACCACCGATCGACCGTTGGAGAAACGATCGTTCACCGAGCAAACGTGCCGAACGTAAAATCAGCTGACTAAAATTGCGGAGGATCGTTTCGTTTACGAAAGAGAGGCATAATTCGTCTGGGAAGGATACGTGTTCACCGTATGCGTTACGTGTGCGAAGCTGGTATATAGGATGGTGGACGTGCTATTCCGTAATTAGACCGCATAATTACACCGTTTTACGGTTTCGTTGCTCGTCACATTGGTGGTGGAAGGGCGTGTCGCGCTGCTGCTCTCTTTTGTGCGGATGAAAGGAAAAGGAGGCGCGACCCGAAACGTCAAGTGTACCTTGTAAATTATACTTGCAAACTCTCGAGCGGATTCTTTGTCTGGATGGTTGTGGGACGGTTGAAAGAATCGAACGATCCTCGGCCTGGAATTTTGTTTGGTTGACGTACGAGTAACTCGAAGTCGGATGTAAATTAACAAGTATGGTTGGAAGATTTGTTCGGATCTGTGTAAATGGAAATTGTTTCGAAGAATCGTGATATTTTTTTGAATATTCCTGTTCTTTTTATTATTTTATTACATTTGAGATAACAATAATCGGTCGCGATATAGTTTCTACTTATATATACGTGAATTTAATATCTATTTAAAAAGAGGGAAATCAAAGAGTATTAATTTCAGATGAATAAAATAAAATTGTGCTCGTTTAAGAGAATTAATTGAATTTATTTTCGATGATTTATTCTTCGCGATTGTTCTCGTATAATAGCGGAGATTCGTAATTTTCAAAACACATGATACGAATACCTATTCTCGAGTGTTTTGCAACAAGCCCACTCCTTTATTTAAAGAGACACGTGGGCCCTCGATACAAAGCCGTTGTAGGCGTCAGCGAATTCCATCGAGGCTTCATCGGCGTCCCATCTTAATTTTTTATCTCCCCCTTGTCGTTTTATGCACGCCCCTTTCTCTGCCTCGCGTTTAACCTTTCATCCGTGCGTACATACGAAACGCGAGATTGGGTCAGCCTGAACTTGACGATTTATTATTCTGTTATTACATCGATTGAGAGCCGTACAAAAGCCGTAATGATCGTGGTGTAACCCCCGAGGCGTTTGAATTAATTCGATTATTAATTCTGTCATCGTTACCCATTAATCGAACATTGATTTGCCCCGGGAGAATCTTAACGGATCTCAACGCGTACTTTGATATTCCAATTTCGTTTCTTCTCGCGTTAATAAATTACTTCTGAAATCGACATCGAGGATGAATTTTTATTTCACGGATGGAACATCTCTTTGACCACCTTCGTACGCAATTATTTCGAGGATTAATACTTTATATTCGAAATCGATTGAAGGAATTATCCCCCGATCGAGATAATTGAGTATCGTCAAACGTGGAAGAATCTTCGTAGTTCGAACGAATCTCAGAGCGAAAGATGTTTTTCATTCGATCGAATGAATCGACGACTACAGTGGCTCGAATATTTAGTCCCTCGGTACGAGAGAGGCGGTAATTTAAATTATTAACGTGGCACGCGTATGTGTGCACACGTGCACGCATATGCTAACATATACGCGTATCTCGTGATTGTGAACCGTCTCGTGTAATTTCGCGTCACGCGAGCTTTAGCGAAATAATTCACTTATGAACAAATTTCCTTTCTCACGAAAACGCGTTTCCAAAGCGTTCTTATAATCCCTTATCATTCTCACGCACGAGGAAAGAAAGTTATTCCGACATCAATGACAATGATACGGGCAATAACGATAATGACGAACCCGTTTTCACGAGTTAAAGTTACTTTTTTTTTTTTTTTTTAGCAGATTCGAATTAAGTAGATCTAATCGCTAAAGAAAAATCAAGGGGAAAAAGATAAAAGAACGACAGTCATGCGAGCGTAACTTTCTCGAGTTAGCAGCGATTCGTTTACAAAGCGGTATCTCTCTATTAAAATCAACTATCATCGAACACCTGGGATATAAGCAATCATTATCAGCGTGGTGTCGGTGAAAGTCGATGTTTATCGACGTCTATATCTCACAGATGCGCGTGAATATGAAAGGAACGCGAGGAGCGAGAAAATTCTATCTTTTCGTACACTCGTGGGCATAAATGGTTTTTACGTAACACTATTCATTATACCGAGAGCTTCGTTACGGAGGAAACTTTGGCGCGTACACACGAAGGGGTTGGCGAAGGCCTTTTTAAACCGTGCACGCACAAAAGAATTCGAAGCAATTACGCACGAGACATTAAGCTCGAACAGCGTGTGCGTGTTTGATGTGAACGATTCAATGCGGGATACGTACTCGACCGATGCTCGCTTTGATGTAAAAGCGAAATTTTCATTTCTCTCTCGGTGGCCTTGATCATTCCGCTCCTTTCCTTTTCGCGACACTCGTTACGGGGTCCCCCTCGTAACGCACATACGCACGGGCTTCCATGTTCCACGCACCGGATCCCCCGTGGGTGTGCGGGGATGTCGCCGTTAAGTGGATCCACGTGGTGATTCTTGATATAATTCGAAGCGGATGGAATTGAATACGAATCTTCGACGCGATCGAATCCTTGAAGGAGGAAACGTAACGAGGATTTGCATTATTGAATACGATACTTGTCGAAATGACAATTCTAAGGTTGTCTCCTGTTTCTGCCGGATTATGGTGATAGGTTGGTGGCGGAGATTGGTTTATGATTCGGAGCAGATTGTTTCGGCTGAAATGATACAAATTCGTATGCAAAGCAGCGAGATTGGTTTGCGGTTTAATTTCACTCTGTAACGTTTGTTTCTCTTCTTCTTTTTTTTTTATATTTTATTTTAATTAAGTTTTAGATAATTATGCAAATGGAGTTGCAAAGTAGTTTTTTTTTAGGGATCGTCGCAATTATTTCTATTTATTATTGTTGTTGTTGTTTTAATAATATTATAGGAATGTAATAGATGGAAATAATTTGTGCTCTATTTAAAATATTTTAAAGATTCATTCGTTCATTCGTTCACGATAGTATTGAATATTTTACAGGAAAGATTCTTTTCCTTTTAATTTCAACTGGATCACGTATCTCTAAAAATAAAAATGATATATTTACTTTGTCCCATTAAAAATTCATCTTTATACGATTATGAAGGTATATAGAGGGTCACGGATTATTTAGTTAGAATAAAAGGGGGTCGAGCAACTGTATTAGACGCTTTTAGTAGCGATGAGCTCAAGCATTGAACTTGACATCATCGCCTGTTTCCACCTCATGCGCGTGAAAAATATAATGCGCATTTAAATTTTTCCAAGGTGGAGGCAGAGGTAGTATCGGTGCATAATGAAACACCATTTCTGGGAAAACGCGTGAAAAAGGGATGCGGAAGAGGATATTATCCGCGTTCAGAATTTATTTCCTCTTTTTATTTTTCCTCCCTTCAAACAAAACGCTGCCGTATTAATTCTAACGCGCCACTTGGTACACGCGTTGCTATTTGTGCATCGAGTGCCTCCGCGATTGCACACGGTGAAACGAGTCGGCTGCGTCGGACGCAACGGAAATGTTTGTCAGGTTGCCACTGAATGGCGTTCGTTAGCCAACTAACATTACGAGATATTACGCGTGCCTCCCATCCGATAAGACGATCGTCCATTTTCGAATCGACACATCATTCTTTTATCTATTTATTCTCTTAATATCAGAAATTAATTTCTGATATACGTTTTAATTAAAAAAGAAACCATACGATACTTTTATTCCTTGAAATATTCGTCGTTACTTTTTGTGTCTTGAAAAAAAATACATCAATTTTCGATGTTTTCTTGCGTCTCTTCCGAATGTCATCAAAAGTATGTTCACAATTTCACGAATGTTCGGTTTCATCTTGGAAAATGAAGGAAGGAAGGAAGGAGGATGCGCGGTTGAATTGTAACGTAATATTTACAGATTATTTTAATGTTCTTAAATTGCTTTTAAAATTACACATTTTCCTCGAATAGAGCTCATTAGGTTTATAATAACGCGTCTCAGGTATTAGTAAACATCTGAAAACGTTCCTTTCTTTCCTGATTCGATGCATAACCTATAAGGAAACAAGGAATAATAGACGCGCGTCCCCACACAATATGGCGAAACACGTTTACAACGTGCATGGAAATAACAGTTGGGAATAAGAGGTGAGAATAAATTAGCGGCCATCGTTTGACGCTTAATCGCGTACAATAAATGGTAAATTTATTCGACGAAACGAGATGCGAGAAAGAATTCTACGAACACTCATTTCTCCAAAACTTTCTCCTTGATACCGATTATACCGAAAGGAATTTCCATCGAAATAGAAAATTCAGCCTCTCCTACTTCATAAAAGAGAGATGTATATCTTCCACGTACATCGAATGTGCTTACATTAATTCGACGAATGAATTTATATAAATCATTCGAATAAAAGTACATTTATTTCCTGCTAATAAATTATCTTGATAACAACATCATTTTCTGATGCAACAATTTTATAGATGTACAGATGTACACAATATGCAAATAAATCGGTCTTCGAATGAATTTACGTATTGAACGTATTTTCCATATTTTTCCAATCATTCGATAAATGAATTCAAACGACGCATTCTTCCTTCTCTTAATTTTTCTGTGGGAATTATCTCTCGATAACAAGAGCTTTTTACATATTATCTCGAACGACTCTGTTTCATTAAATTCGTAAAGTCGACCAATTTGCATCTGGTGATTGGCCGAGTCGCTAATGCAATGGCCGGAAAGTAATTATGTTAATTACTGCCGGTGCTTAATAACCTGTGTTCCCTCGATGCAGCAGGTTAATAAGTTTACCAACGGACCCGAATCCTTTGAGAATCAACGATTTCTCCATTCCAGGTATTCCAGGCATCCTGCTTTTGCGCTAATCTTTTCACGAGTCTTATATATTTAGAAATTGATAGGTATATTTAGAAATTGGTATAATGGCGTTCGTCATATGGCGAGGTGCTAAATTAGAGCATCAAGTGGAGGCATTGATGGCGTCTGTGCTTTAGACTCGTGCTAATGTAAATATGTACACATGCATATAATATATGCAACGTTAGTATTTTAATTAATTACTAAATATATCGAGGTGATATGGTCAATTTTCTTTTTTCTGTCGTGATATTTTCTATACGCTATCGATTACTAATTATCTCTCTGATTTCGAGTCAATTACTTGCTATACCATCTGACGTCTACTATCTGGTCACTAATGATCGATTTCTCCCAAAATCGTTTCTAATCACTACTTTAACTACTGTACACATTGAGGATCCCTTCCGGTTCCTATTCCCTTAGATTGTGGCCGTTTTCAAATCAGGGAAGGGAATTAACGTATCCTCCTTTCCATTGAGCGATGATGTTCTTAAAAACAGTTCCACGTAAGAGAAACAATAAGAGAAATATTTTTTCAAAGGAATATTTGAAGAATTCCAAAGATGTGAAGAAGCGAAGAAGCGAAGAAATTAGTGAAAAAGAATGAAAAGAAGTTCGATCAAATAGGAAGAATTTAAATTTGTACAAATATTAATGGCAAGATCTAGATCTGATCTTCAAGAATTTTAAGGGATAGATAAAAAAAATATAAGAACATATACGCGGGAAATAAAGATTTCCAATCAGATGCAACAAAGTGTACACGATTCTCCTGCTGCAATTATAATGCACACGTTTATTATTACTGTTTGATCAACTCTATCCGATCGATACTCATTTTACACAACGTACGTGCATAATCGAGCAACTGTACAACGTCAAGACATCGCAATTCTGTCGGGCAGAAACCCGTGATCAGGCTAATTCCTACGAAATGAATGTTTACTCGCTTATTATCGAACGTACGTCTAATCCATGCTTCTTTCTTCTTCCTTGTCTCGTGTGATAAGCGGTTTCGAACGTGGCATCGAGTTGATCGATGATTCAAAAATAAACGCAACGCGTTTCTTACGAGTTTAAAGTAAGTCAGACCGCCAATTTGACTTACTTTTTTACGCGTGCCAGCTGTAATAAGCGATTATCGAGTCATGCTTCTATCAAAAGTGACTATTTAATGGCTACCTTAGAGGCTTCGTGCCTCTTGTTTGCTCTTATTTGCTCAACCAGCATTTTAAATAGCGAAATGCAAGTTTTTGAGCGCACAATTAAATCGTGTTTCCCAAGGTGGATAGAGTTATTACACGAAAACGTGAAATTCTTTTTTGAAGAAATGTGAAAAGATCGAAGGACACTGGTGTTCGAGCGACGTACGAGTGATCAGATCACGAGGATATTTTGAGAATTTCTCGCTAGAATTCACGTTTAAGTGGAATCGATATTCGAACGGTGGGACAGCAATTACGGCACAATTGATTTGAATTGTACACTCGAGGACCACCGTGAATCGCCAACGTAGGATTTTCGTTCCCTTCGAATTCCCTCTGCACCTGCAGAATTCCGAGATCCTCCCTCGACGATCCGAATCGATCTTCCGCGCTTTCTCTCGAAGAAACAACGGCTAAATATTGACGGTAAAATTGGAGGTGAGCCACGACAGAGTTTTGAAACTCTGCTGCAACGAATAATCAGCGAGAAGAGAAGGAAGAAAGAGGGAGAAGAAGGACGTTAAATATCGACGATTTTGCATTCGCGGGAGAATAAGTAAGATTAATTCGAAAGAAACGAAGGTACGAGGGCAGTGAAAGATGAAAGGCATTAATTATTGCGTGGCTTGTTATTAAGTGGATATTAAATTAATTTCTTCGAACTTGAAATCCTCCTTTGAGCGACTCCTTTGGCAAAATTAATTGAAAATAATTTCTATAATTTGAAATGTAGCGAATGAATATAAAACACGCGAGAATATTTCGTGACACGAAATAAATACGATAAACACGACAAATAAAGGAATAATTTAAAACTGCAAACCAATTACATCTCCGACTAACGTATCACTTTTTCACTGTTATCTGTTTAATAAAAAAAAACACAAAGTTTAACTTTCACTCTAAAGCATTTTAAATTTTAAAAAGTATCGTTTCATTTGGTTAAACTTTTCTCGTCTTTAAACGTCTGCTTACTCTATCGAGCCATTACGACAGGTTTGATAATTCAATTACATAAAATTAACGATTCTTAACGAATCTACATATAACATAGCTTCGAAGCACAGCTTAACGTAATACAATTGCAAGGTGGAATATCATACTCGGTTCGATTGAAAGCAGTCCCGTTCGATCGTTAACCTTGTTCGATTACTCGAGGATACACACTTGGATCGTGACTTTTCTTAAATTAAAAAACGTCAAACGGTCTTTTGTACCGACGAGTCGCTATCCACGATATCGTTGGACGTCGTCATCGACAGTTTGAAAACATAATGGACAGGAAAATGGAATGGAAATGAGATGGCTTGAATCGATGGGATAATCGTATCACCGTGAGCAACGTCGACGTAGCCAAGATTACAACAACCCATAATTTCTATCCTGCCCTATACACACGCATCACGATTTGATGCGTACAGGAATCGTCTGTGTGCCCCCCTGGAAATGATCGAATAACATCCCGCTTTTGGCGGGAGCAAATTTACAGCAAACCGGAAAATCTGATTACCTGCTTTCGGGTGATTTAAAGTCAAAGCGCGAAAGAAATTGGCCTGCCATTCCGACAAAATATCAATCGGCATCCTAGACGTGCCAATATTGGTTCGATTGATTTTTTTCCCAAGATTTAATTTAGCATATGTGACAAAAAAAAATGATAAATCTTTTCAAAAGATCGTTCCATGAATATTTAAAGAGGGAAAAAGAAGGTCTCGCCTCGTGTAATTTCAATTCGTTTGCTCTCGTTTCGACCGAGGTGCGGTTCAGATGTCTATTATTGAACGCGCTATTAATCAAGTTTCCTTAACGCTCTTTGAACTTTTCATTCGATCGATAGATATTTTGAGAGAATAGCTTATTAACTACGGTAATTTATATATATTTTCAAATACATCCTCCTTAGCCAGATGCTTGAAACAAATTTCCCCAGATTATGATAAAACACGAGTTATATATATTCGTGGCAGGTAATCAAGCTCCCTCCCTCCTAAACAAAATAATAAAAGTGTGGATCCTCGAGTGAGTTTTTAATTAAAAACTTCGTTTCGATAACTATCGATCCTTCTCCTCTTATAAATAATTCCGTCAGAAGAATCAAATGGCAACTCGATTACCAAGTTTTAATCCAACTAGAGGACGATAAAGTTCTATGTACGATCTCGCGCTGGTGCGCGAATCTTAAGTTAAACGGAAAAGCGATAAGAGGAAGGAGAATTTTCGAATTTTCGATTTGAGTAAGCAGGAAGGGGAGAAAAAATTTCGAAACGTGAAAAGTAGAGTGGATGGATAAGAGTGGAAGGTTGGATCTTTGAATTATCCCGTGCAGACAATAACGCTCGAAACAGTCGTTTCGCTTCTGATATTAAACTATTCCGGAGATTCGCACGGCGGAATTAATGGGAATGAAAATGCGGAGTTGAGGCCGGCCTGAAATTCGAGTTGACGCCGGAAACACCGTGAAACTGGTTGCCCCGTTTTCTCCGTGTCTCGCATTTAACTCGTCTTCCTGTCGTTTCTGGGCTGGAAAATTCGTTTCCAAATAGCCCCGGAGTGTACGCGTGTGCAGATACATTTCAAACTCGGTAAATCTTGAGTCTCGCTGATTCAGCTTCGCCAAGTGTTTGCTCGTGGATAATTATGTGATACTTTCAGAAAATCGTGCTCGATGCGATTTATTAACCTAAACATCGCGATAAAGTTTGGAGGCACGGAGTGCCAAGTCGAAATCGAAATCGGAATCTTAATTAATTCTTTCTTCGTATGGTAAAATGAAATCAATTTTTTGGAGAAATTTT